GTTTGGCAGGGTGTTGCTAAGTGTTTGGCAGGGTGTTGCTAAGTGTTTGGTAGGGTGTTGCTAAGTGTTTGGCAGGGTGTTGCTAAGTGTTTGGCAGGGTGTTGCTAAGTGTTTGGTAGGGTGTTGCTAAGTGTTTGGCAGAGTGTTGCTAAGTGTTTGGCAGGGTGTTGCTAAGTGTTTGGTAGGGTGTTGCTAAGTGTTTGGTAGAGTGTTGCTAAGTGTTTGGCAGGGTGTTGCTAAGTGTTTGGTAGAGTGTTACTAAGTGTTTGGCAGGGTGTTGCTAAGTGTTTGGCAGGGTGTTGCTAAGTGTTTGGTAGAGTGTTGCTAAGTGTTTGGCAGGGTGTTGCTAAGTGTTTGGTAGGGTGTTGCTAAGTGTTTGGCAGGGTGTTGCTAAGTGTTTGGTAGGGTGTTGCTAAGTGTTTGGCAGGGTGTTGCTAAGTGTTTGGCAGGGTGTTGCTAAGTGTTTGGCAGGGTGTTGCTAAGTGTTGTTTAATCTTTTTCTTCTTTATCTCAGTATATTGAAATCATTGTATCTTTCATTTATTTTGAATGCAGTTTTCATGTGTGTCAGACAGTTCAGACAGTATTTATTTTTCTTTTGAGTTATGCTAACAGTTTCCCCCTGCTCCCAGTCTTTGTGCTAAGCTAGGCTAACAGTTTCACCCTTCTCCCAGTGTTTGTGCTGTGCCTTTAAATGAGACAGTGGACAGTTGAGTTGAGACCAGCTGAGGTCTGTGGGGACAGCAGCTGTTCAGGTCCAGGTCTAAATATAGACTGGGTTAATGAGGTGGCTCAACACGAGGTCTACCTCCCTTCCCCCCCTCCTCAGGTGTTGGAGCCATGACCTGGTCCCCTTTAGCCTGCGGCCTGCTGACGGGCAAATACAACGAGGGAGTCCCCGAAAGCTCCAGGGCCAACATGAAGGTCCCCACACACACACTGTCTCACACACACACACACACATGAAAACACACACAGAAATATACACTGAAACACACACACACACACACACACACACACAGAGTGAAATACACAATGTAACAGACGCACACAGTAAAACACACACTCCACAGTGATCAGTGGTACACAACCATCATCCATCGTCAGACCTGCAGGATGAGAGCCCATCTGTTACTGTGGTGATCAATACAATGTGCGTGTGTGTGTGTGTCTGTGTGTGTGTTACAGGGTTATGCGTGGCTGAAGGAGCGTCTCTGCAGTGACGAGGGGAAGAAGCAGCTCAGTAAAATCAAAGATCTCCACCTGCTGGCCGACAGACTGAACTGCACTGCTGCTCAGCTCGCTATAGGTCTGTCTGTCCACCTGTCCATCCACCTGTCTGTCTGTCCATCTGTCTCCGTCCACCTGCTTGTCTGTCTGTCTGTCTCTGTCTTTTAGTCCCTGAACATCTGACTCTTTTGTTAGATCCTAAATGTGTAACTCCTTTGTTTTAAGTCTCACTATTTAGTGACTCCATTAAAGTCTCACTTTTTCACTTCCCAAATGTGTCACACTTTTATTTAGTCTCACTCTTTTATTATTCCCTGATTGCCTCACTCTTCGATAATCCCTGGATGTCTCGCTCTTTTGTTATTCCCTGAATGTGTTACTCTTATTATTCCCTCAATATGTCACTCTTTTACTACTGTCTGTCTGTCTGTCTCTCTCAGCGTGGTGTCTCCGTAGTGAAGGTGTCAGCTCGGTTCTTCTCGGAGTTTCCAACACAGAACAGCTGCTGGAGAACCTCGGTTCTATCAGGGTACATACATTTCCTCAATCACTGTAATTAAATACAAATGTTAGGGTACTTGTACTTCACATGAGTATTTCCATGTTTTGATACTCTATTACTTCTGCTCCACAACATTTATTTATCTATACATGAAAAAAACATAATAAGAAAAACAACATAATTGTTTTCCTGCAGGTTCTGACTCAGCTGACTCCACCCCTCATCACTGAGATGGATGCGTTGCTGGGCAACAAGCCACGAAACAGCAAAAAGGAGGCGAAGAGTTGAGGAGGAGGAAGAAGAAACTTTGAACAAATAATCAGAAAACTGGGCAAACGAGATGGAAGGAGAGAAGGACACAAAAAGGGACACAAAGAAGGACATGTGGATCAATAAACAATATTTATTCTTCAGGGACACAGATGACCTTTGTCCTCATCGTCATGGAGACAGAGAGACTTTCGCTCCTGCAGATGATCAGAAATATATCAGAAATATTTATTCTTATATAGATAAATATATTAACTTCGGTGCAGAGCCTCGTGTTGTCAGAGCCTCATTCTGAAGCTGGCCTCAGTTAGCTGGATCATCAGTAACATTTATAAAGAATGTCAAGAAATGATATGAACTATATGAATTATTACAATTAAATTAAGGACTAAACCAGGTGTATTTTGAGATATTATGAAATCCAAAAGAAACAGAAGGTATGGTGTTTAATTATACTTTTTTAATTTTATTTATGAAATTCTTCAAAAGCAGTATTTTAGTGTGGAATTATGGAAGCCGATTACTGCTGAGAAGAAAAGAGAAATGTATTACTGTAATCGTGACAAAATAAAATGAGCTCAGCTTTTGTTTTAATTGTTAATTTTATATGTATATATATATATATATATATATAGCGTAATGTTGAGATATTCATACAAAAGCCATTTTATAATTATAACTTAATGAGTTTTTTTAAACACCAAGCCAATCAATCTTTAACCTGCTGTAAAGTATTAACAGGATCATGTTAGCCTGGATGAATTAACACTGATTTTAAATATGAAACTCAGTGAAAATATTATGTCTAAATTTAAATTTATGTCTAAAATTTTAATCAGTTTCGAGAAGCTTAATTGAGATTGAGAAACATCCATTAAATATAATTCTAAATTATATGTGCTTTTAAAAATCATTTTTATTATACTTTGTTTCCCTTTTTTTTGCAGAAATGGGCTTCTGTAATCACACTTTACCAGTTGCTGTTTTTTCTGTCTTCTTTTGCTTTTATGTCAAAATAAGAGTTTAGCGTTAGCAAAGATAACCAGATTAGTTTAACTAGCGTACCAGCTGCTCTCTGTCTGCACGAGGCTCTGAACCCGCCTGTATCCTCTGACTGTACTGCAGTATATTTATGAGTATATATTTACTATAAAAATATAAATCTATATTTTATGAATGTACCTGTAGTTCTTTAGATAGAGAAGAGTTTAAACTCAAACTAAGGAGTCTCATCCTTTCATGGGTCATCACCTCGTTACACAAACCAGGTTTCATTCTTTTTTTAAAATTCATTATAAATGTTGGACTTTAAGGATTAAAACGTCTTTTTTTCCAAGTGAATCATCAAATAATATTTATTTTAGTTAAACTGTGAGATGGAGCATAATGTTTAGTTCAATGTGTGAGTTCTACATATTGAGCTTTCACTAAATGTAAGTCACATTTTTTAAAGAAATAAAAAATAACTAGAAAAAGTGCATATTTTCTCTCAATTAGCCTACACTGTTTAACTGTAATCACTGCTAAATAATTCAAGATGTTATGAAATGAACCTGTAGAAAATGTACAGTGAAATAATCCATTAAAGCACATTATTATTATTATTATTATTATTATTATTAATAATAATAGTAATCAGTGATGGCCAAATGAAGCCTCGTGAGCCACTTTCTTTATTTTCTGACCCCGCCAGATGGCGCTCTTGGTTTAAAGATAAAGGCTGAAGGACTGGCAATGAAATGTGCTTTCAAACCTTTGTTGAACAGACAGCACCATCTAGTGGCTTCAGAAAATAAAGACAGTGGTTCATAAGGCCTCATTTGACCATCACTAATCCATCCTGCATCTGTTCACATCAGTTTTCATTTCAAATGTTTGTCACCATACATAATAATTATTAAAAATTATGCAAATGAATGACCCAAACAATAAGGATTTTATGAAAAGATGTTATTTATGTAAGTTCAACCCTTTAAATATACACCTGTCCTGTCCACTATGTTGAGTTCACTGATCACTGAACTCTGATTGAAACCATGTGACCATGTGGGCTGGTTGGTCACATAGCTATGTGGATTTCCCTGTTTAACCCTCTCTGCTCCTCCTGATGTAAATGACACTACTTGAGAATGCTAATAAAGTTATTCAAATCAACATCTGGAAATCAGTGTCTGAGTGTGTCCAGCAAGGGAAGCTAAACCCAATGAAAAGCAGAACACATACTGTAAATAAGTACAGCTGTGAGGTACCTGTACTTGACTTGGACCACATCGTGTGCCACTCCTGTCAGCCAAGAACAGGAAACTGAGAAGACAACTGGCATGGGCTCAACACAGGATTGGGAAAACCTTTCCCTGGTTTGATGAGTCTTGATTCCTGCTGCGATATTTAGAAGGTAAGATCAGAATGAGTCATGTTTGAGGCTGGTGGTGGTGGATATAAGTACGGGAAATATTTCTGTGGTTTTTCTAGATGCAATACCATGAATATGCAGTTTTTTCAACATGCTACACAATGACTATTTATATCAGCATTTTCGACGTACGATACTATGACTATTTTCAACATGGTTTACTATGACGTTTTTTTCATGATTTTAGACAACATGCTATACTATGAATTTTTTTCACGATTTTGAACGACATGCTATACTACGACGTTTTTTCATAATTTTGGACGACATACTATACTATGACGTTTTTGTCATGATTTTTAATGACATGCTATACTATGACGTTTTTTCATGATTATGGACGACATGCTATACTATGACATTTTTTCATGACTTTGGACGACATGCTATACTATACATACTACACTACTACTTTTTTGAAGAATTTTTTTCAATGAAAAGCGTGGTCTTGACCTGCTGTATGTGAAAAGTGTCATGAGATCACTTGTGAATTGGTATTATATGAATAAAATCGTCTTGACTCGCGGCGAGGCTGTCACAGGAGGCTTTCAGAGAAGACACCAACAACAGGAACTTCAATTCGATTGCAGAGTGTACAATCTATTTTTATTGTTTGGTGATAATTGTACACTCTTCTGGAGTAAAAGGATGATTGAAAAAAATAAACAATCACCAGTGGGTGAACATACAGAAATAACAGTGCACTGATTGTTATCAGCAATCCCTCTCATCTCTTCTCTCCACCCTCACACTCCCATGTAAAAACAAAACAAACAAATTCCAGTCAGAAATTCCAATGTCATGATAACACTACCACGTAGTGTGTGATGATGGGGGCAGGTGTAGTCGTAGCCACGATAGAACATAAAGTTACTGGTGGTCAGCTTTCAATGTGGAGAGAAGCTCAGACTATAGCAACACAGGTAACGGAGCATGAAGAGAAGGCAGGAGGAAACAGCTAGCTTGGATCTGAGACAGTGTTGTCACAATACTTAAATTTCCAACTGTGAAACAATACCTCAAAAAAAAAAAAAAAAAAAAAAATCGAATGATACTATTTTCAAGGGCATAGAAGTTAACTGACTCCCCACTCTTTCCACTCCCAAGAAAGGCCAGCTTCACAGTATGTTTGGGAAAACAAGATAGCATTATTTAAAGCTTCAGAGATGAGCCACGCCCAAAACAACATGCCAAAGTTCACTTTGCAGCCATCAAATTAAATATGCCAGACCAGAGCTGTTTAAGTATAAATTCAATCCAGCCAGATTTTAAAACCAGAAACTGTTGATGGGCTGGACATTTTCAGCAGCAGGCAACCTATGTTTTAGCTTTTGTAATGATAATTTTTAAACAAATGTAAATGAATGTAGTAAAAGTAGCAGTGTTCATGGTTTCACATTTGAATTACAAAGAAATTAAGTCAAATATCTGACGGAGGAACATCACATAATGCAGGAACAGAATCAAAACAGAGCAATACATGCACAGAAGCATTAACAATATCTCATAACACATTTATCTCTCTACTAGGCGATATAACGACTGTATGATAGATCAATATATTTTCAAGCAAGATACAAAGTTAGACAACACTGTTTATATCGATGTAGGGTCATGTTGTGTTACATAATGCATACCTGTGGGGGGACAGACATCTGTAAAATGACTGAGGGTCAGGGCACAATGCTACAACACAACAGCGTCAACTTTCCTTGTTTTGGTAAGTAGCAGAGAATAACAAAATATTGTTGGGAACATTAACAAAAAGAGAGACAGAGAAAGAGCAGCAATTGACACTGTATCCACACAATGAAGGACAATGAGGACTGAAACAATGTCCAACATTCAGAATCAATATGTTTTGATGATGTTGACTCAGAAATGATTCAAACTACGCAGTGTGGGTGCGCTGGTGTGTTTTAAGTTGAATACTCTGAGAGAAACTTTTCCCACATTTGTCACAACAGTACGGTTTCTCTCCGGTGTGACTACGTCGGTGGACATCTACTTGACTTTGGGTGGTGAACCTTTTCCCACAGAAGTCGCACCAGTAAGGTTTCTCTCCAGCATGAACACGTCTGTGAACTTCTAGGCTCATGCTGCTGGCGAATGCTTTCCCACACTGATCACAGCTGTATGGTTTCTCTCCTGTGTGAGTACGCCGGTGGATCGTTAACTGTTGATTTGTCAGAAAAGCTTTCCCACAGTCATCACAGCTGTACGGCCTCTCTCCAGTGTGAAGGCGTTGATGGATTTTTAGGCCTTGCTTTGCTGAAAAAGCTTTCCCACACTCACCACAGCTGTATGGTTTCTCTCCTGTGTGAGTACGCCAGTGGATCGTTAACTGTTGATTGGTCAGAAAAGCTTTCCCACAGTCGCCACAGCTGTACAGCCTCTCTCCAGTGTGAAGGCGTTGATGGATTTTTAGGCCTTGCTTTGCTGAAAAAGCTTTCCCACACTCACCACAGCTGTATGGTTTCTCTCCTGTGTGACTGTGCTGATGGAGTCTTAGGTAGCGTTTTAGACTAAAAGCTTTCCCACACTCACCACAGCTGTATGGTTTCTCTCCTGTGTGAGTTCTTTCATGAGCCTTTAAGTACTGGCAGCATGAGAAGGATTTGTCACAGTACTGACAGCAGAAGCATTTGGGTTCCTCTCTTCCACTCTGTTTCTATAGTTACAGACAAACAGAGACAGCATAAGTGAGATGTCATGGTGGAGCAAGTTATCTCAAACCATAAATAACATTTAGAGCTTGTCCGGAGACCATAAACCACAATGTTCAAGTTTGACTAATGCATTACCCCCTATGACACTCAACCGTGGCGCCGTGTCCACGACTGATGGCCACAGATGCCCCCTTAACATCTCTGAATGATCTGTCGACATTATGGAGTTGCATTATATGAAATGTAGGATCCTGTGTTGCTGAAGCTTGACCCATTCCACAGACTAAATCAGGGTATCTCCACCTCTGCTGCACCGATTTGGACCTTTTGTATTCATTCCGTCTCTAAAAAGAAAAGTGTGATACTGAAAATGCAAAGCTTCCCTTTAAAGACTGAGCAGTTCATGTGATGTGGCGTCAGATCGCAGCTAATAACAAAAGGGTTTTATGCTCAAGAGAGATATTATGCTCAATTTCATGTCTTCTTGTTTTATTTGAGAATGTTAACATGTAACTAGGGATGTAAAACATTGGATTTTTTGCTGATATCTGATTTATAAACTGATTTGTCTGATAACCAGTATCAATATGTTCATGTATTAAGGAAAATTATGCAACTTTATTCTCTGAATCCTCAGACTGAATACACATGTTTATCTGTTTCTTTGTACCACGGGTTATCTTTATTTTTATATGTATTTTTATTTATTTACTTACAGCCTGGTTTAAGACCATGTATTTGTGTTTGCATTGTGTAGTGAATTCATTTCATTGTCTGGTTTATCTGCATTTATAAAAGGTATCATTTAAAGTTTGTTTGTTTTACGTTGTGGTGATTTAATACATTCTGTAAAACAAGTTTGCTTTGTAGATTTGAAATTGAATGCGTGGTAATTTGCTGTCAGCCTATCATGGCGGCGAAGACGAAGGAATGGGTCAGACCTGGCGACCCTGGAGACCCGTTAGCATGGAGAAGAGCAGCTAACAGTTAGCAGGAAAAAATACAAAATATTGCGCCGACGAGAGCTGACTGTGTTAGCATACAGTATGTGGGACTTTGGTTCAGTGACTGAACGACTGTAAAAAAAAACATTTTGACAAAGTGCCCTGCCAGAAGAAGAACTGTGTGGACGATTTAGGCCGCTAGCATCTAGCTAGCTACTTTAGCACACTAGCCGTTAGCTAGTCGTTAGCTAGCTTAGCAGTTGAGTTTGCGTTAGTCAGCGGATCAAGAGAGGACAACACTACATCAGAAGAGGACAACACAGCACTGCGGGACACATCTTTGGACATCGTAGTTTTTTTAAAATCACCCTTCGGATTCAAAATGTTTTTGACTTTGACTTTTTCTTGTGAAGGAGCTCATTAGGCAGCAGCCTCTGGATTCACCGTAGTCAGGACGGTGCAGTGTTGTAAGTTACTAAACTCTGAACAGACTGTAACACATTTATTGGCCCAACTGTTTCATTGTCCAGTACGATTTATTTACAAGAGTTTGTTAATACACTGAAACTTATTTTGATGTCTGGTCACTTTATGGTGATTGTGAATGACATCAGTATATCGCACTATATCATCAGTCTTTTTGCATCAGAAAGTTAGTAAGTGAATCATTAGCAATTGAGTCATGTTTTATCATCTATTTGTTTTGAATTTTGTCCTTCATATTCTTCATGCATACTTACATCTTTCAGATGTGTTGTTTTGTTACTTGTGTTGAATCATTTACCTGATACATGTTGACTGCCAGTGTTATGTATTGTGTTATGTAGGGACATATAACCACAGAAATTAGCATGGCATAAAGACAGAATACATGATAGTTTTTATCCTCACCTGACAATACTTCCTACAATATTCCTTTGAAATTATGTAGCAGCCCAAACTCTCTAGAAAATCATGCATCAGTATCTTATCATCACCTGTACACAGTCAGATGCTGATAAAATGAAGCAGAGCACATTTTCGCACCCTCAGGAAACTCATTTGATGTCACTAAGATGTCACTTTAAGTATTAAATCATCTTAAACCAGCAGCTTTTGGCTTTATTGTAACAACTCAATCAATCAGACCGCCAAAAGTGTTCCCAAAATGCACATAATGAGCCTTGAATGACGGCAATTCCATCTTGTTGGCCAGGAGACATCAGAGGGTGTAATCACAGATTCAACCAGCAGATGGAGACACAGTATGGCAAGCCGTTTTAACATTTAATAGCTAGACTGGATATTCATTACTGATATCTGCAACATAATTTTGCCTAGTAAGATTCAAACTACTTTTGCCATTCATGTGTATGGGGTTTGTCATTATATANCTATTTTGAAGAAACTAGAATATAAAACATGTTTTCAGTTATTTCACCTTTTTTTGTTAAGTACATAACTCCACATGTGTTCATTCATAGTTTTGATGCCTTCAGTGAGAATCTACAATGTAAATAGTCATGAAAATAAAGAAAACACATTGAATGAGAAGGTGTGTCCAAACTTTTGGCCTGTACTGTATATATCAAATTATCATCAATTGAAGTTATCTACATGGTCCTTTCTAGATATCTTGAATTAAGTTTCAGATAGTCAGAATGACGTTGTAGATATCTTTATAAATACTCTGACTCCTGAAACCTTGTCCCAATCAGCAGCCATGGGCTCCTCTAAACAGCTGCCTCGCACTCTGAAAACTAAAAGACCTGATGAAGACTAGAAGAAGATAGCAAAGTGTTTTCAGGTTTCCCTCAGTTGGTCATGCTATTAAGAAATGGACGTTAACAGGAACTGTGGAGGTCAAGCTGAAAACTTTCTGAGAGAGCTGCTCGTAGGATTGTTAGAAAGACAAATCAAAACTCCTGTTTGACTGCAAAAGACCTGCAGGAAGATTTCTCAGACTCTGGAGTGGTGGTGCACTGTTCTACTGTGCAGACACACCTGGACAAATATGACCTTCATGGAAGAGTCATCAGAAGAAAATCTTTCCTGTGTCCTCACCACAACATTCAGCGTCAGACGTTTGTCCTGTGGACTGATGAAGTTAAAATAGGACTTTTGGACACAATGAGCAAAGGTATGTTGGAGAACAAACTGTTAAACACACAGATGGATGGATGATGTTTTGGGTTTGTGATGCAGACAGTGGCAGAGGGAACATTTCACAGGTAGATGGACGTTTTCAGTTGTGTCATGGTGCGCCACAATGATTTGATTTGTGACTATCTGTACTTTAGACTCACTTTAACATCTTTTATTTCTGTGTGAACCATAGACTGTACATAAATATGGACGACATTACAGCTCCCCAAGAGTGAAGCCAAAATATATGGCTCGCCCCCCGATGGCTGGCTGCAGTATAGACAATAAGCCGCGCCTCTGCATGTGACTGGACAGGACATGGCCCAAACTAAAAACTGCTGTTTGCTCCAGTGTTTAAGTTTTTTATCAGATTGGTTTTGATTTGTTATTAGATGCTCAACACTATTACTGCTCAGACGCTGGCTCAAAATGGCGTCACGAATAAGATGGCAGCGGGTATATCTGCATATTTTGGCTTCATTTTTGTACAGTGGAAGAAAGTGGAGACACGTCCTACATTTTTATAAACAGTCTACGATGTGAAGTAATTCCACACTTCACAGGGTATTTAAGGGAGTAAACTGACCTCAGTGGACGAGTCTGTCCTCGGCTGGTGTGGCATACACAGTCTGTGGAAGTAGCTGTTGGCCATGTTCTGCAGGTTAGCCACGGTGGTCCCGTTATGATCCACGTTTGGTGGGTCTGATCCCTGTCTCAGGAGACGCTGGAAAGTTTTGGTAGTTAGAAGAAGTTAACCGACTCTGCAGAGCAGCATGAACACAAAAATGACATTTTCCTCTCAGGTTAAACTCCGCTTCTCTCTGAATGATGACAGGAAGTCCGTTGTGTCTATCTCTGTTACATTATATATGCAGTTTGATGTTCTAACAGATTCAAAAAATTAAATTATCAATAAAAAAATCTTATTTTTTGATCAAAATTTTATTATTTTTATGATTAAATGCAAATTCATGATACCATAAACTATATTTATCCAAAACAGAAATATTATTTTTAGTGAAAAAGTTATGATCACACTTACTTTTTCGGTCTATAAAAAAAAATGTACTGTTGCTTTAAATTACAACACAAAGTTCAAAAGCAGGCAAGTTCCCATATTATTTTACATTGTTTATAGAGATGCACTGATACCACTTTTTCTTTCCCGATACCGATTCCGATCCCTGAACCTTAGGTATCTGCCCATACCGAGTACCGATCTGATACCAGCGTGTAAAAGAAAAATGGATGGGATATGAATTGTTGTATGTCTCAACTCCTAAAACTCTATGTAAAATATTAAGAAATAAATACATAATAGTAGAATGAATGCCATAAAACTTTTTTATTATTATTATTGTCCAGTGTTGACACAGATCAAGGCGACAGTAGAATGCTTTTTAAACTCTGCTCCGTTTCCGTTTCGTTTGCCTGTAGCGTGCATATGCATAATGACGTGAGGCATCACGTGGTACCGGATTGGTCATAGGCTGTACTCACCGATACCCAATACTGCCGAGGCATTTCTGATACTGGTATCGGTATTGGTAGAACTCTAAATGTTTATTTGTTGTTTTTGTATGTTGGATAGGGTCCATCAAGCTTAACCTAACCACTCCGTCACGGAAAATAGATCAGGAAAATGTTTTTTTGTTAAAAAAAAAAAAAATGTCAGTATTAATGCAAAGAAAATTATATTTCAAGTTGAAATCATGCATGCTAAGTTAGCTAGCTAACCACACAGTGAACTGGCAGCCATTTTAGTTTGAAATTTACCACCCCGTCACATTTTTTATTGTGACAGGGTGGTATGTGAGGTGACGGGGTGGATCTGTTTCCCATTTTAATTTGAAAATTGATTGAATTGGAGCTTAAATAAAGCTTATTTAGGTCTAATGCTGGACACTCACATGAAATTCGACAAACATGTTAAAAAAAATGTGCAGAACGGTTAAAATTAATCTGTACACATTTAGACTAATCCGAGACTGTCTGACATTTGATGCATTAGATTTTTAAAAATGATTTAATGTATTATATTGTGTGCATATTGTCCGTGACGGGGTGGTACAACAAGAATGACTCCCCGGTCTGAATAAAACGTGTAATATTAATAAATATTTTATGTCTGAGGTGGGAAAATATGTTTTCTTGGAGGTTTAACATGTCTTTCATATTGTGCATTTCTTAAGAAAAATGTTTGCCCTTTATGAAAATTTTGAAAATTGCAAAGTGGAAATGGCACCCGTTTCATAGAGTGAACCAGAGAATGAGCGGATGATCCACGGAGCCTCGAGACTCTTCCTCGTGTCTTTAGTGTGGCTGCTGTCAAGCCCTTTTTATCCATGACGTCATCAACACTCACCTCAACATCGCTGCTATCAGAGGACGAGCCTGCTGCTTGTCTTCTCCGGACCTTGTTGCTCCGGTGCTCCGGGTTCTGCTTGTCCTCCTCCATTCCGC